ATCCCCACCCCAAGCCCTTAGAAAATTGCCTTGTTTGCTTGCGGGACTTTAAAAAAAGTCTTTTTCCCCCCCCCCCCCCGACAAATTAAAACACTCACATAATTCATGTTTTTGTTGCCTTTCTAATGGGGTGGATATGCCTGTGTCTGTGAGCACAGTTTGGTGAATTCGGGTGTGATGCTTTTCAGCTTCTAGCCTCAGGTCAATTTCGACATTCATCCTGCTTCTCTGTTTGGACTTGAGAGTGGAGAGTGATGAAAATTTCATCCTGCCTCAGTATCAGAGATCTCTTCTCTTTGATAATCTGGCCCTAGTCACAATGACCTCTGTTTCTGTTATCAGAATAAATGAATCAAATAATGTTTCCATTTGTTCAGCATTCTATCTTTAGACAATCTGTGTGGAAGTTGGGGACCACTACTGGTCTGCTGCACATAGGCTAAGAATATCTTTCTTAAAGGATTTCAGGTAGACATGACAGTGTATATAAGAGAAGAATAGCAGAAATCCATAGGGGAAATCCATAGAGGAAGAGAATTTGTGGATTATTTTTTGGGATTATGAGATCTACGTAGGGGAGTCTGAGTGGGACTCCCCAGCTTTATTAATGAGGATGTGAAGAGAGCATGTCAAACCTTAATAATGGAGTTCTCAGAAACTCTCAATTGAATTCTGACCTGCATTCCTTGATGGTTTTGATGATCTACCCTGATGTTATGCATGGATTGTCTCTGTGAATATTTGTTTATCTTTTCTGCTATCATAGAGGAGGCTTCCAATCTGGAAAGAGGGAGTTGAATTCTGGGGTTAGTGGAATCTTAGAAGCTGAGCTCTAAGGTTTATGAGCAACCCATCATCAATTGAACTACCTTATCTAAGCCAGCACACCATGGGATTTCTGAGTTAGAACACCAGTCATTGGTGTAGATTGGTTGCATCTTTTTCTGGAAAGAAGACAGATGATGCTTGCCACCTTTTATGTCTGTGATAGTGCAGCTTTCTCTAACCTTTGTGCCCTCCAAATGTATGGGGCTGTAGCTCCCATAATCTATGAACAGTAGTTATGCTGCTTAGTTATGTTGGGAACTATATTATGACACTTGGAGAAGAAGGCTAAGATAGTTCTTACTATTTCAAATTTATGCCTGCTTTTGAACATTAACGTACCTTCTTACCCATGTGATTTTGGAGGGTTTTGTTCATTGTCTCTGTCCATGCAATTCTTCCTTCCTGATTGCTATTTATAAACAAGATGTGTGAACGAAGCACCAGAAACAGGAAGCATCTATGGACAAGGGTAAGATGACCCAGGTTCAGTATTTCAGTGATTTCAGTGCCTGCATTGCAATGGAAGATTGTCTATGGCTGCTGCTTGCTTATGATCTGATTAAGGGTCCAGGAAAAAATACTAGTGCCATTTAAATCTCTGACTTGTAGAGTATTATATACTGATCTTTCTTATTTTCTGAGTTCTTCCTTCTTTTTGCTCCCATTGAGCAATAGTTACATAGAAATATAGAAAGAAAGTGAGTCAGAAGAGGCCTCCCAGGCCATCTAGTCTGACACCCGGCTCTAGCTGGCTCTGTTCATGTAATCCTCAACATGTGGTTGTCCAGTCTTTCCTTGAACACCCTCACTGATGGAACCTCAGCCACCTCCCTTGAAAGCCAATTCCATATTCTAGGGATTCTAACCATTAGGAAGTACTTCCTGATATTTATTTTATTTATTTATTTTTGAATTTATATCCTGCCTTTTTCCTACAAAGGGCTCAAGGCAGCTTACATCTCCTCCTCCATCTTATCCCCACAACAACAACCCTGTGAGGTAGGTTGGACTGAGAGTCTGTGACTGGCCCAAAGTCACCCAGATCGTTATCCAGCCTGAAGCCTGATTCTTTGAACTTTGCCCCATTGGAATGGGTCCTGCACTCCACTGCAGGGAAGAACAGGTCACGGTCCTCATGCATGACAACCCCTCACAAGATGCTACATGATTCCCTCTTTCCCAGGTGATTAAGAACTTTTCTCCAGTTCTTAATGTGTTTGTTGAATAACATAGAAATAACTAACACTGCCTACAATCATTTAGGGAATGGTCATCTCTAGGTTTGTTTATGTTCTGCTCCCACTGTTGTCACGAGGACAAAATTTTAGAGGTGAAAGGTTCCTAGAAGATCATCTAATCCAGCCCCTTGATCAGTGCAGGATCTTGCACCTATAGATCCCCCATGTTACCTTTTAAATGTATGAGACCTGTTCGTGGAGGATAGCTCCATCCATTCACTGCAACAGCTAAAAATAGGTATATCTCTTTTTACCAAATGCTGTAGGCAATGAACAGGGGATGGTTATTCCCATCATGCTGTATTGGAGAATTTTATAGGAACACAGGAAGGTGAATACGGAATCAAACTATCGGTTCATCAAGGCTGGTATTCTTGGCACTGGCTGGCTGTGTCTCTCCAGGGTTGCAGGCGGTATCTTTCCTAGTCCAACCTAGAGATGCCAGAGATTGAACCTGACCCTCCTGTGAAAAGCAGTTGCTCAGCCGCTGAGTCAAAGCCTTTCCTGTGGCAGACCACTGAGGAAAGCAGATAAAAGGACTGAGGTGGACATTTGTTCTGATCCAGAAAGACAAATGAATTCTCACAAGGCAACCTTAAGCGAGGCACCATCTCTCTCAGCTAATTCATAATATGGTTCTATTAGTATGCAAAATGATGTTAATAATACTGGGTTACCTCACAAGGCCGCTGGAAGGATAACTAAGATAATAGTGTGCATAGTTCTGGTCACCAGACTTCATAAAGCATATTTATTGCAGAAATAGAACAGGTGCAGAAAGGAGCGACTCCTCTATACAGAGGGTTTTGTAGTTTTAAAGAAAAGGCAAGTGAGTGGATGGCATGACAGAGGTGAATAAAATTATGCATGGTGTGAAGCAAGTAGTTATGGAGATGTTTTCTCCCTCTGTCATAATACTAGAACCTGAGGCCATCCTTTGAAGCTGAATGATATTCAGGATAGTTAAAAGGAAGCCCTCTTTGCAGTATATAGTAAAACTGTGGAAAATTGCTATAATGTTGGACAACTTTAAAATGGGATTAGACAAATTCATAGAAGATAAGCCTGTCAGTGACTAGCAGGTATGATGACTTTTTTTACCTTCAGTATTGGAGGCAGTTTTGCTTTGTATACTAGTTACTGGAGAGCATTGGTGAGAGGGTGCTATTGAAGTCCTGTTGTGGGCTTCCCACAGGTTGGCTACCGTGCACTAGGAGGCCTCCTCTTGTGTTTATATAATGAACGCATATTCCCTTGGGATGGAACATTTGCTGTTCTTCCAAGAGTAAAAAACTGAATGGTGCAAACAGTATCTGGTGGTTTCCCTGGTGTTTTCTGTGTAGACACAGAAGGTGAGCTGCTCGTTAGATGAGCTTCATTTGAGGACAGATCTAGAAGAAATGAATAGTGACAAACTTGTGACAAATGAGTTTATGTGGCTAAGTCACAGCTCTGTCAAGTGGGGAAGGGATGAGTTTTTACTTAGGTATGGAGCAGATCATCCTTTCTCAACCTGGTGCCCTCCAAATGTGTTGGACTACAACTCCCAGCATGTCTGTAGTCCAACACATCTGGAGGGTGCCAGGTTGGGGGAGACTGGAATGGAGGGCCTCTGTCGAGTACCATGTGATACTGGCAAGTGGCTGATAAACATCTGTGGAAACAGCAAACTATTCATATACTTTAAAATGCATATGGCAGCTGTTGGAGTCCCAAAAGCAACTGTTTAGAAGAATGCACAGCCTGAAGCAGCACAGGAGCAAGTGGCTTGAAAGAGCTGCATTGAACAGAGGCAAGACTTCTCCTTGAAACAGAATTACTTGCTCATTAAGCAGAAGTCATAGCTGTTAAATATCCAGGACATAAATCTCTTTTCTAGCAGATGGCCTATGTAAGCACTTCTCAGTTAAGTGGCATGAACTGTATAGCCGACTTGACACAGAGAGCCTTACAAGGACATGGCATGTTAAGAAAGGATTTTCCAAGGAACATCTAAGGGGAGTGTTGAATCATTTTAACCACTTAACTATGCCCTGATTTGGAAGCTGTAGGATCAAAAGATGGAAAGAAGTGGTCAGAAACCACTCCTTTGACAGATCAAAAGCAGAAGCTCTCTCCTCCTAAGCTGTATGTATAAAGCAATGCATATTAATGGGTTCTGGCCTGGATTGTGAATAGGCCACAATTGCAAGGTCTTCCACGGGATGGGCTATTCCAGCTAAAGCCTTAAAGAAGTTGAACAAGCTGCTCAGAGCACAGTGAAATCAAGAGACTACAAAAGCTCATATGTTCCTATGCTGTTGCATGATCCACAACATCCAGAGACCTTACGATCAGGGCTTTGCATGCTTAATCCTACACTCTGCACA